TGTAGCAACAGGTTGCGAGAGTATAATTACCCATTCTATTGTAAACTTTGGGGCTTAAACCAATAATCATCGTACATAATTTGAAGGTTTATTAAAATTACAAAAATATAATTTTTGTAATATGCAAATGTAAATCAGCATGCGCATAATTCATTTAAGAACATTCTTTGTGTCTATTAATAGCCTTTTCCCGTTTCGATAATTGCGTGTGTATTTCAACAGAGTCGAAGTTGATTTTTCGAGGTTCTCTCTTGTAAAAATCTCAATTTAGTACTTTTAACATTTGCGCCTTCTCTATTTATTAACATTCTCTGGTATTTGATGTTAAGTGTAAATTAAATAACATCTATCAACAAGGCAACTTATTTGAAGAAAACCGTCTTGATAATATTTTAGTTCTTCCTTGACACCTCAAAATCTTTGTGACTCCTACCTTGTGAATCATAAATCAATTTTGTATGGATGGATCCTTGAATTTTTATTGGATTTCACATAGACAATCCTTTGGAAATATTAGTATATACGGTTATTATAGATACATTTTGTGTCTAATATTACATAACAAATGTTTACTAGCAAAAAACAAGTTTGTGGAATCCATTTCAACCAAAATGTCCAGTCCACTAAAAGCTTTGAAAAATTTCATAGCTGTAACGCTAATTTAGTTAATAATATAAAGGTTGCTTTGATTCGGATACATTAATAGCTAGGTAGGTAGGAGTGTAGTCCTTCGCGCTGAATTAGCGCTAGATGGGTCATTCTGATCATTTTGCTATCTCGTTTCATCATTGCATTCATCATCTCCGTATGCCCCTTTAGATCGTTCCTGGTTTTTGTTGCCGAAAATATTCCTGTGATCGGGAACCCCAATTATGGACAAGTGGAGTTGGGCTGGCAGTGAGCTTAAAGCCTATACTTGTTGACTACGCTGGAATTAATCCTTGACAATACCGCTTGGCTATCTGTAGTTATTCAGTAGAACTCCACAGGCCTTCTCTATGCATAGTATTTCCGCTTAAGAAGCTAGCTGAGTTTGGCAGACGAATAGCGAGAGAGATATCAAGATAATCGGAGTATACCCATCTTCCTACTCCGCAGTCCGTTTTGGATATGTCGGTAAGATTGAAATAGTATCCTCCTCCTCTACTAAATATCTTCGGCATTCACGTATAGAGGGTATTGTCACCTGGAAGTAGCTATGAAATCCAATTTTGGGAGAATATAGTCCGCTTTATTTAAAAATGTTTTGAGCTGGTTCAGAATATCGTTATGTAACTATCTAACTTCTATTATTATAGAAGCATATGCTGTTACTTTCCGTATGCGTCTAAGTCTATGAGCAGTTGATGCAGGAACATATTAGCGAATCAGTCGGAAATGACTTAATAGCCTCGTTGCTCAAGCTACAAGTTGCCCTTGATATTCCATTTAGTTTTCTGATATTATATTTTTATTGCTAGCCATCAAACGAGTGGTTCATGTAAGAATTGGTGCAAAAGTGGTCGAAAATTAGGCTCTCAGCTGAATTTATTGGAGCCACCACGATGGTCACTTGTCTGAAATTATTCTTAAAACACAATGGCAAACCTTTATCTTTATAATGAAGCTAAGCTTTTGGCCGTAACATTAAATTACATGCATTTTATTTCTTCTTGACCACATGTCTAAAAAGACACCTTGAATTAGTATTTTATTCAGCGCCTCCACCCATAAAGCGTGGAAAGGACACCTCCTGAGCAGTCCCTATTTGTTCGTTTGGCTGTAAGATAACAGAATAATGGCCTTATAACTACATATAGATATTTTTAAGTCTTAGAACCATTGGATCGTCTAGCTTCTGCAGCTTTATGGGAATAATCCCATACTGATAATTCCGTATGTGACTTTCTTCTTGCTTACTGCATTTGCTGCTTGTTCTGGTTAAACAGCCCGCAGATTTCTGACTACCAGGAAGTGCGTGTTCATCAGAACCTCCAGTGACTCTTCAGCAGAAATGGTGGTTCTTGGACAATATTTTGCTCACCTGGCAGATATTTTGAATATAAAATAACAGTTATGCATAATTTTGACTTAAAAACCATTATGAAGGAAAGGTCGGATATATACATATGATGTAGAATAGAAAATTCTTTTTGTCAAAACTTTGTTCTTCACAAAATAATCGTTATACTATGATTAAATTTATCGTTTACAAAATAAGAGACGGCAGCACCTAGGCCATCATTAGGACAAGCAACTCAGTGGATTTGGTAAAAACCTAATTTTTCCACCCCAGCTGCCAATGTGGTGGAATATGTCCCATCTCATCTGGCTTAAGGCTGGGCATTCGCATAGATAATGTTCCAGCGTCTCATCACCTCCGCACATGCTTTGCATCCCGCCGAATCCACTTTTCCCATTTGCTGAAGATGGGATCTTGACACTAGAGCCTGTGATGATCTCTACAATGTTAAAAGCCCCCTTTGCCTAGAAGTAAGAGCTTTTGGTTTGTCCACCATCAATACTACCCCAAAGTAACTTGTGGTGGTATGCCCTGTTGTGACTCCAGCTGCCCCGAGAGGTACAACTCGTCTGTTTTATTTCCTTCTATTCCTATATGACCGGTACCCAGTTGATATTAACCAAATTACTTACTAGAAGTATAGCTATTGCATGATTGCATAACCCAACGCAATGATACTTAATATTGGCGCTACGAATGGCCTTAATTGCCGCTTGGCTATCCACTATAATGTTTATGGACTTGCTGATTAAAGCAGAAGCCCACTGGCACCTTCTGTTATGCCACAATTTGGTCTGAAAGTCTGAATGGCAGTCATTTAGTTTGAAGCTGCCTTATATGTACGAATCACTACAGAAGAAGATCGCTTTCCTCTGCCCCCTTTGATCCGTCAGTGAATATGTAGATTTCGACGTTGGAACTGTCGATAACAGAACCATTGTCCAATTTTCTCTACGGGAATGAAAACGATGTCTTTAGTTCATAGTGGGTCTCCTTACTCGGCCGCAATGCCAGCTAACCCGAGTTCATTAAAAGGTTAAGCGTGGTACGTAGCGATGCATAGCTTGACTCCAATGACCTAAATCATGAGCCGGCTTACCGTAAGCGTTGCCTCATACCTCACTTGTATGTGTTGGTCGGATGTCGAGTATAATCTCCAGAGCCTTTGTTGCGGTAGTTTTCATTGCGCCCATAATCTCCAGCAAGCAGACCCGTTGCACTTGCTCCAGGGTTCCATACGGCACTTTTCGATAATGCCTCCAACATACCAGTAGCCACACCGAGAGTACAGTAGCCTTAGGAGGGGAGATTGAATTGCGAAGTTTTCGTTCATCGAGTATAATAGGGAGGGGTACACATACACTCTAGGAATGAGTACAAGTCTTGATCTATACTCATAGCTATGAATATAATATATTTCCACAGATCATCCTAATCCGTGTTTTGTTTGGTCAGCGTTCTCAGTATCGACTCCGTGGACATTACAGCCACCCTACAAACCTCCTTGTCACTCACCAGGCGTAGCTTGGAGTTATTTCATATCTCCGGGAGACTCTCCAATAGGAGTAGATGGATGTAACGTCTTCACGGAGTCGATGGCAAACCGGAAAACTCGCCTTTTGAGTTGTGTTGATTTCGAACACCAATCTGTTCGAGGCTGACGACAAGATTAAGTCCATTGGACTATCGCTGAACGCTGATCCGCTGACATGCTCCTCCGGTCTGCCTTTGTCGATAACCGCGAAGTTGAACTGGTCGTCTCCGCGTGAGGCGTGATACTTCGCTCTTTTGAGCATTTAGTAACCTCAGGCGGAGTCGTTTCTCTATCCTAAGGGCTGGATCCGGCATCCAGTATTCGCTGTTTGCGCGTTGCGCGTCTAGCAACCACGGAGCGTTTGGCAGTCTCCGGACAAGTTACCCACCGGTGGATACATACACGCAAAGGATCGACGACGGAGATCCTTTTTAACAGTACCGTTATATGGGGAGTGGGCGGAATTGCCACCCGATTTTAACACCGTCAATAGAAGTGCTGAAAACATTTGCTTCCAGTGAATTTTGTTATTATAGCATTAGCGGTTTAGGAGATATGCACATTAAACTTATTAGAGGCGGGACCACGCCCACTTAAAAAAAAAAAATTTAACTGCAGATGCCCCTCCCTAATGTGATCCTGTGTACCAAATAACAGTCTTGTATCTTATTGCGGAGCTTAGTTATGGTAATTTATTTGTTTTTGATTAATGGCGTTTTGTGGGCGTGGCAGTGGTCCGATTACGCCCATCTGCAATACCAACCGTCTCACGGTACCAGGAAACATATCTACCAAGTTTCATAAAGATATCTCAATTTTTACTCAAGTTAGAGCTTGCACGGATGGACAGACGGACGGACGGACGGACAGACAGTCACCCGGATTTCAACTCGTCTCTTCATCCTGATCATTTATATATATATAACCCTATATCTAACTCGATTAGTTTTAGGTGATACAAACAACCGTTAGGTGAACAAAACTATTATACTCTGTAGCAACAGGTTGCGAGAGTATAATTACCCATTCTATTGTAAACTTTGGGGCTTAAACCAATAATCATCGTACATAATTTGAAGGTTTATTTAAAATTACAAAAAATATAATTTTTTTTGTAATATGCAAATGTAAATCAGCATGCGCATAATTCATTTAAGAACATTCTTTGTGTCTATTAATAGCCTTTTCCCCGTTTCGATAATTGCGTGGTGTATTTCAACAGAGTCGAAGTTGTATTTTTCGAGGTTCTCTCTTGTAAAAATCTCAATTTAGTACTTTTAACATTTGCGCCTTCTCTATTTATTAACATTCTCTGGTATTTGATGTTAAGTGTAAATTAAATTTAACATCTATCAACATAGGCCAACTTATTTGAAGAAAACCGTCTTGATAATATTTTTAGTTCTTCCTTGACACCTCAAAATCTTTGTGACTCCTACCTTGTGAATCATAAATCAATTTTTGTATGGATGGATCCTTGAATTTTTTTATTGGATTTCAGCATAGACAATCCTTTGGAAATATTAGTATATACGGTTATTATAGATACATTTTGTGTCTAATATTACATAACAAATGTTTACTAGCAAAACAAAGTTTGTGGAATCCATTTCAACCAAAAATGTCCAGTCCACTAAAAAGCTTTGAAAAAATTTCATAGCTGTAACGCTAATTTAGTTAATAATATAAAGGTTGCTTTGATTCGGATACATTAATAGCTAGGTAGGTAGGAGTGTAGTCCTTCGCGCTGAATTAGCGCTAGATGGGTCATTCTGATCATTTTGCTATCTCGTTTCATCATTGCATTCATCATCTCCGTATGCCCCTTTAGATCGTTCCTGGTTTTTTGTTGCCGAAAATATTCCTGTGATCGGGAACCCCAATTATGGACAAGTGGAGTTGGGCTGGCAGTGAGCTTAAAGCCTATACTTGTTGACTACGCTGGAATTAATCCTTGACAATACCGCTTGGCTATCTGTAGTTATTCAGTAGAACTCCACAGGCCTTCTCTATGCATAGTATTTCCGCTTAAAGAAGCTAGCTGAGTTTGGCAGACGAATAGCGAGAGAGATATCAAGATAATCGGAGTATACCCATCTTCCTACTCCGCAGTCCGTTTTGGATATGTCGGTATAGATTGAAATAGTATCCTCCTCCTCTACTAAATATCTTCGGCATTCACGTATAGAGGGTATTGTCACCTGGAAGTAGCTATTGAAATCCAATTTTGGGAGAATATAGTCCGCTTTATTTAAAATTGTTTTGAGCTGGTTCAGAATATCGTTATGTTAACTATCTAACTTCTTAATTATTATAGAAGCATATGCTGTTACTTTCCGTATGCGTCTTAAGTCTATGAGCAGTTGATGCAGGAACATATTAAGCGAATCAGTCGGAAATGACTTAATAGCCTCGTTGCTCAAGCTACAAGTTGCCCTTGATATTCCATTTAGTTTTCTGATATTATATTTTTTTTTATTGCTAGCCATCAAACGAGTGGTCCATATGTAAGAATTGGTGCAAAAAGTGGTCGAAAATTAGGTCTCTCAGCTGGAATTTATTGGAGCCAGCCACGATGGTCACTTGTCTGAAATTATTCTTAAAACACAATGGCAAACCTTTATCTTTATAATGAAGCTAAGCTTTTGGCCGTAACATTAAATTACATGCATTTTATTTCTTCTTGACCACATGTCTAAAAAAGACACCTTGAATTAGTATTTTATTCAGCGCCTCCACCCATAAAAGCGTGGAAAGGACACCTCCTTGAGCAGTCCCTATTTGTTCGTTTGGCTGTAAGATAACAGAATAATGGCCTTATAACTACAATATATAGATATTTTTAAGTCTTAGAACCATTGGATCGTCTAGCTTCTGCAGCTTTATGGGAATAATCCCATACTGATAATTCCGTATGTGACTTTCTTCTTGCTTACTGCATTTGCTGCTTGTTCTGGTTAAACAGCCCGCAGATTTCTGACTACCAGGGAAGTGCGTGTTCATCAGAACCTCCAGTGACTCTTCAGCAGAAATGGTGTGTTCTTTGGACAATATTTTGCTCAGCCTGGCAGATTATTTGAATATAAAATAACAGTTACTGCATAATTTTTGACTTAAAAAACCATTATGAAGGAAAGGTCGGATATATACATATGATGTAGAAATAGAAAATTTCTTTTTTTTTGTCAAAAACTTTGTTCTTCACAAAATAATCGTTATACTATGATTAAATTTATCGTTTACAAAATAAGAGACGGCAGCACCTAGGCCATCATTAGGACAAGCAACTCAGTGGATTTGGTAAAAAAAAAACCTAATTTTTTTCCACCCCAGCTGCCCAATGTGGTGGAATATGTCCCATCTCATCTGGCTTAAGGCTGGGCATTCGCATAGATAATGTTCCAGCGTCTCATCATCCTCCGCACATGCTTTGCATCCCGCCGAATCCACTTTTCCCATTTGCTGAAGATGGGATCTTGACACTAGAGGCCCTGTGATGATCTCTACAATGTTAATAAGCCCCCTTTTGCCTAGAAGTAAGAGCTTTTTGGTTTGTCCACCATCAATACTACCCCAAAGTAACTTGTGGTGGTATGCCCGGTGTTGTGACTCCAGCTGCCCCCGAGAGGTACAACTCGTCTGTTTTATTTCCTTCTATTCCTATATGACCGGGTACCCAGTTGATATTAACCAAATTACTTACTAGAAGTATAGCTATTGCATGATTGCATAACCCAACGCAATGATACTTAATATTGGCGCTACGAATGGCCTTAATTGCCGCTTGGCTATCCACTATAATGTTTATGGACTTGCTGATTAAAGCAGAAGCCCACTTGGCACCTTCTGTTATGCCCACAATTTTGGTCTGAAAGTCTGAATGGCAGTCATTTAGTTTGAAGCTGCCTTATATGTACGAATCACTACAGAAGAAGATCGCTTTCCTCTTGCCCCCTTTGATCCGTCAGTGAATATGTAGATTTCGACGTTGGAACTGTCGATAACAGAACCATTGGTCCAATTTTCTCTACTGGGGAATGAAAACGATGTCTTTAGTTCATAGTGGGTCTCCTTTACTCGGCCGCAATGCCAGCTTAACCCGAGTTCATTAAAAAGGTTAAGCGTGGTACGTAGCGATGCATAGCTTGACTCCAATGACCTAAATCATGAGCCGGCTTACCGTAAGCGTTGCCTCATACCTCACTTGTATGTGTATTGGTCGGATGTCGAGTATAATCTCCAGAGCCTTTGTTGCGGTAGTTTTCATTGCGCCCATAATCTCCAGCAAGCAGACCCGTTGCACTTGCTCCAGGGGTTCCATACGGCACTTTTTCGATAATGCCTCCAACATACCAGTAGCCACACCGAGAGTACAGTAGCCCTTAAGGAGGGGAGATTGAATTGCGAAGTTTTCGTTCATCGAGTATAATAGGGGAGGTGTACTACATACTCTAGGAATGAGTACAAGTCTTGATCTATACTCATAGCTATGAATATATATATTTCCCACAGATTCATCCTTAATTCCGTGTTTTGTTTGGTCAGCGTTCTCAGTATCGACTCCGTGGACATTACAGCCACCCTACAAACCTCCTTGTCACTCACCAGGCGTAGCTTGGAGTTATTTCATATCTCCGGGAGACTCTCCAATATGGAGTAGATGGATGTAACGTCTTCCACGGAGTCGATGGCAAACCGGAAAACTCGCCTTTTTGAGTTGTGTTGATTTCGAACACCAATCTGTTCGAGGCTGACGACAAGATTAAGTCCATTGGACTATCGCTGAACGCTGATCCGCTGACATGCTCCCTCCGGGTCTGCCTTTGTCGATAACCGCGAAGTTGAACTGGTCGTCTCCGCGTGAGGCGTGATACTTCGCTCTTTTTGAGCATTTAGTAACCTCAGGATCGGAGTCGTTTCTCTATCCTAAGGGCTGGATCCGGCATCCAGTATTCGCTGTTTGCGCGTTGCGCGTCTAGCAACCACGGAGCGTTTGGCAGTCTTCCGGACAAGTTACCCACCGGTGGATACATACACGCAAAGGATCGACGACGAGATCCGGTTTTCTTTTTTCCGATCGCCATCCCCAACTCCACACGAGATATCTGAGTTTCTTGCGACATTGTGTCGACATTAAAAGGTGTAAATTCGCGAATCTTAATTCTACATTATTTCTTTATTTCGGGAGTACGTGCTGAAAAGGTGAAAGTGGTGAGTGCCTTTGTGCAAAGTAGCATAACAATTGTGTGATGAGTATTACTTTCAGATCGTAGCTAAATAGATTTTTTGTATGTATGTATGTATGATACGTATTCCTTTTTTCTTGATTGGTCTAAATTAAATATTGAGTTTTCAAAAATCTAAAATACTTTTTTTCGAACTCAATTACACGTAAGGTAACAAACATATTTTCAAATGCTTACAAAATTTATTCCTAAAACTGATCAATTGAGCTGAGTTGCAGTATCTATTTTCCAGCATATGATTTCACCTTAAACATTAATTTTATTTAATTTTTTTAAACTCCTGCAACATGTTGCTACAGAGTATAATGGTTTTGTTCACCTAACGGTTGTTTGTATCGCCTAAAACTAATCGAGTTAGATATAGCGTTATATATATATTGTATAAATGATCAGGATGAAGAGAAAGTTGAAATTCGCATGTCTGTCCGTCCATCTGCTTGCACGCTGTAACTTGAGTAAAAATTTAGATATCGTAATGAAACTTTGTAAACGTGTTCTTTGACAAGTTAATGAGTTAAAAACAAGTAAGGAAGGGCTAAGTTCAGATGTAATCGAACATTTCATACTCTTGCAACTTGCAAAGATCAAAGCCGGGGGAATACCTGCAATTAAGGTATTATTTTGAAGGACATAGACTCCTTTAGTTTTATTACTATATTTTACATCTCGTCCGGGAAAATTATACTAAAATCATTAGGGTATAGAAATTTAAGGGCTGATAGGATTAATTTTTGACATTGCCCAGGTATACTTGAGAACTTATTTTCAAGCAATTATGGAGTAAAGTCAGCCGGACGTTTTAAAATCGTGAATTGACCGATATTCTTGTACGAAGTTTGTTCAAAAAGTATTGCGAAATTCGATTTTTCGCGTTCTACGTGTATTCGATTTTATATCCCTTACTTATGCTGACAAGGTCGGCCATTTTGAATGTTTAGTTAATTTTTGACAGTTGTTTTGCTTGGACGCGTTTTAGTTTGTCTTCGACTTTTGTTTATTCAAAAAATGGATCAAAGAATTTTAATACATTTTTTTGTGATAACGTCATAACCATAAACCCATGATTCGTCACCAGTTATGACCCTCTGGAGCAGATCTTTTTCGTCGCGGATTGATTTATCCCAGCTTTAGTACTTTTTAACGAAACCGTTAGATGGGGAATGTACATGGTTATCATCCGAATTCACATATTTTCAAACTTTCACAAGAAGTATCGAAATGATATGTTCGGTACAAATTTGGATGATATAGCTTGAATAGTTTGGGAGGTGTATACAATAAACCTATTGGGGGGAGGTGAAACGCGAGCGTGGCAGTGGTACGTCTTCACTTTTTTGCCAACTCGTGTATTAAGTTTCTTTAAGTTACCTAAATCACATCCTGATCATTTATACATATACATATATATAACCCTATATATTGCACGGACGGACGGACAGACAGTTACCCGGATTTGAACTCGTCTCTTCATCCTGATCATTTATATATGTATATATAACCCTATACCTAACTCGATTAGTGTCAGGTAATGAAAACAACCGTTAGGTGAACAAAACTTTTATACTCTGTAGCAATCGGTTGCGAGAGTATAAAAATATACCTTTAATTTTCCTCGGTTAATTGCACAAGAAACTTTCGTTAAAAAAATCAGGTATTGCCGCACATTTTTAGTTTGAAGTGCTTTAAAAGCACGGTTGGTATTGCAGATGGGCGTAATCGGACTAGTGCCACGCTCACAAAACGCGTGGCACCGCCCATTTTTAGGGGAAAATCCATATCTTGGGATCTGCCTAACCGATTTCAACCAAATTCGGTACATAATATTCTTCTCACATATCTATGTTATAGTTCGAAAATGGACGAAATCGTATTACAACCACGCCTATTTCCCATATAACACCATTTTCAATTCCATCTGATTCTTTCACTTTCCACTATGCAAATCAGGTAACAATGATTATATCGGGGTAAAACTTTGCGTGAATAATGCGTTTAAAGTACGCCTTGTGACCAAAAATTGTCTAAATCGAACCAAAACTGTTCAAGCCCCTAGGTACTGAATATGTGAATCCCAGTACCTATAGTTGATTTTTTATTGAAAATATCGGTCAATGTGTAAGATATATAATTGAAATTCATATAATAAAATAAATAAATCAAACTCTCGATAATAGTATGTTTTTTGTGTCATAAATGGGTTTAATCGGATCAATACATTCTTTAATATACAATTTTGCAAAGCAAGTTGCGAGAGTATAAAATGTTCGGTTACACCCGAACTTAGAACTTCCTTACTTGTTTAAACTACATTTATTTTTCACTTTTTAGTTTAATGTGCTTTAAAAGCATGTTTTTTGGGTTTTTAAACCATATTTATTATTTAGCCATACCTGGTGTCTTCACTTTCTAAATTTCACTTGAGTAAATTTGTTATTCAAATGACAGCATCGAAATTGAATGCTTTTAGATGCATAGTTTTATGGGTATTTTTGTTTTAGGATGGATAATTGAAGCTTTTAGCTACATAGTTTTAGACTTTTTTTTGTTGTGCTTATCCATCTGCTGCTTCTTTTGTCAGTACCATTCAGTTTCAGTGGCACTGGAAAAAGTTACAAACATACAAACATACAGGTGAAGCTAATAAAAAGTGCGGACAAGTTTGTAGATCAGCGAAATTGGAAAAATGCCACGCCCAAAAAACGCCATTAATCGAAAACCTATAAAATGCAATAACTAAGCACTAAATTAAGATATAAATCTGTAATTTTTTACAAGGAGCAAGGGGCACTTGTGGACTAAAAATTTTGAAGAAAGAGGTGTTGGGTTTGGCCGCCTTTTAATTTGTTTAATGTACATATCTCCTAAACCAATATAGTTATAATAACTAAATTCGCTTAAAATAAATATAT